AGATGCCGAACACCCTTAGCAGGATGCAGCGCACCCTTCATGCGACTCGCCGAATACCTCACGGCGCTTCGCGCTTGGTGATGTGAGAGCCTGGTCCGGTGAGAACCCGGCGTGCTCCGTCCCGGCTTTGTAGGGATGCGAGGTCAATGGTCTAACGACTACGGCATGCACGACTATGAGTACCCCCCCCCCCCCCCCCGTACCACAGGCGAAGAACCTGTACTTGGCCAGTAAGCCCACGTTAACCGGGAAGAAGGTGAAGGAGATACAGGACCGTTGCCCCAACGCGAGGGTGGTGTACTGCTCGGCGACGCCCTGCTCTGAGCCGATGAACATGGGCTACATGACCAGGTTTTTTGGTTGGCTGTTGTTGTTGCTGTTGTTGCTGTTGTTGCTGTGTCGGGTGTTTGGTGGGGTTATTGTCGTTCTGCCTTTTTTTTTTTTTTCTCTTGTCTGGTGTCTTTCCCACACCCCTCTCCGCGTCACTGCCTTTTTTTCTTCTTCCGCACGCACAAACCCTTGCTTTGTTGATTGACTTGGAAGTGCACATGTTGTGCTCTAGGGGTCGACCTCCTCTCTCCTTTTGTCCTCCTTCCGTTTGTTGGTCTCTTTTTCCCTGCTAGGCTGGGGCTGTGGGGGGACGGGACGCGATTCGAAGACTTCCCCGACTTCCTGAAGGACATCGACGAAAGGTCAGAACAAGAGGAAAAAAAACGGAATTTGAGACAATCGATTCGAAACACCGCCGTGGTAATTTGTTTTTTCCTGAGCGAGATGTGATTTCAGGGAAATCGATCTGCTGGACGGGCCCCAGTTCGACGTCGCTGCCTGCTGCGCCGCTGAAAGCACATACGGTAGCAGCAAACACGGCAGTACAGGTGTCACAGTTTTTTTTTTTTTTTTTGTCCTTCTTCTGCACGGGACGCCCGCTGTACGGTTGGCGTTGGAGAAAGGACGATCCGCTAGAAGATGAACCGCTGTAGATAGGGTAGAGGAGAAGAAACGAGGCGTAGCCTCGCTAGATCGAACGATCCCGTACCACTCGCGGCGGTGGTTGGTGTGTCATCTTTTATCTTTCGCAGGGAGCAACTTATCTATGCCTACTACAGCAGCAACTTTTCTTCCTTGTTGCGGAATACCTACGTAGCGAGGGCGCATGGATAGTACTTCTCATTTACCGTAGCATTCTAAAATGGCCTTGGAAGAAAGCAAACCTCAATCAACGATTTTTGATAAATCCGTGTTCAGATACTTGAAGAGAGCTTATTTTAAAATGCAGCGCATTACCTTTCCCCGTGCGGGGTATGATGTGCGCGCATGTCCAAACGACGAACCAATGCTAGCATGCTACATTGCACTCGAACGCTACTGTATCATCCTCTTCTCGCTGCCGGTACCCCCCCCCCCCCTTTCAACAACAGGGGTGTTGGTGCGATGGAGCTTGTGGCGATGCAGCTCAAGGCGGAAGGCATGCTCCTCAGCCGCTCCCTGAGCTTCCAGGGCTGCGAGTTTAGCCTCGTCCCTCTCGTCAATAGCAAGTTCCAGGTTCGTTTGTTATTGTTATTGTTGTTGTTGATGATGTTGTTGTTGTTGTTGTTGTTGTTGATACTCTTCGCCACCGAAAGCAAGGCGTTCACTTTTTTTCTTTTGCTCTTTTTTTTTTCGCGTTGAAGATGAAGGCCGAGTCGTGTGCGAGGTCTGCCGGTTTAGCCCGCTTAAGATTCGACAGGCTACATGGCGTCCCCAAAACCGAAAATTAATAATAATAATAAAATTATTAATAGTAACAATAACAATACTCGCCAACGATATACCAATACACACAGAACAAGCACGGAGAGCGGTTTGGGTTATGTTGTAGAATGGCTGATGGATTTATCCATCAATTCCTGGCACGTTAGACATTTTCATCCTGATCGCACGTAATAATGCTACAAAAACGAAGGAGGGCAAATGCCATGACGTCATTCATCTTGCACTTGCCATCCCCAGTACATACCAAGGATTAAAAAATAATTATAAAAAAAAAGGGAGCCGGTGCGTGTCCAGCAATTGTGACTAACTGCTGTGAGAGTACCGACGGCCAGAACAAAGGGACGACAAAAAAAAAGTTCGTGGACTACACCAGCAAAGCTACAAGCCGACCCAATACCAAAAATTCACAAGCGGAAAAGAGCGAGTAAACACCGCCTCCCCCTCGTTGTATGTACACGTATGTATTCAGTACCCAGCGAAGTCCCGTGGTGCTGGTGTACGCACCCTACAATATAATTTCCTGTCCAATTTTTCAGCGAAGGTTAAGGTTGGTTTGGTGGCACCGCGTCCGAGTTTTGCATTCCCTGCCCCCCCCCCCCCCGGTCGTGTGTCAATACTGCTGAAGATCGATTCCTACAACGCGGCGGTGAAGACGTGGCAGCTTCTGTGGCAGGTTCTCAACGACGCCGTGGGGGAGGACACCCTGTATACCCTCGTCGAACCCGCCAGCGAGGAAGAGAAAGCCGAAAAGGTGCGCACTGGTGGTGGTGGTGGTGGTGGTGGTGGTGCTGGTGCTGGTGCTGTACGTAGGTCTGTCTTGCATTCATGTACATACATACATGCTGCAGGACCACCCTGCTGCGCCGCACGTTGACACCTCTGCGAGACCGCGGGTGGTCCGATGCCGTTTCGTGCTTGGAGCGGTGTGTATCGAGCACCGGGCACACGCCAACCGAAACCAACCGTAGTCAACGCTGAAGATGCTACAGAGGTATACTGCTGAAGCGCCACGCACATAGCCGCAGTGTTTTCTGGGTCCTGAGGCTGGCCCTCCTGCCGAGTCTCCTTCGTATAACCCGTCCGTCGCGCATATTTCCCGACGAAGCACAGCAGCAGTGTCTACGTATGCGGCGTTTGTTTTTCTTAGATGACACTAAAGAGGAGTGTATTCCCAACGAAGTACAGCAGTGTCTACGCATGCGGAGTTTTTTTTTTTTATGGCGCTAGGAGTTTATAACGAGTTTTGTGCTCGATTTGGTTCTCTTCTCTCTCGGATAACGATGACTGCTTTTCGAAATTCTTGAGAGAAAGAAAGCACACACAATGAACCATTAGAGTCTCTCCCACTATGAGACCATGTCCTTCCATTGGTCAACCGGTTTGTGCAACTGAGGGTATCCTGTGACGAATTACACGGGTTTTTTGTCCTTAACAGGAAAATATTTTAGGAGAGAGAGCTATTAGCTCTACATCCCTTCTCTTGCTCCCTCGGTGCTACTGCTGTAGGGCTATGTACATGCCGGCTATTGTACTGATAATAGCAGGAAGCTGTGCCGACGACACTAGAGGGTCAGCCATGCTTCGTACCCTCTTCCCATCTCCCCGGCTGGTGCAGACGTACACGTTTACACCTTTACGCGTCCGTGGTTTGGAGCGCCCCACCTCTCTGCCTCAACATTCCGAATTGGTGCACATCAAGTACAACAGGAAACAAAGGCGACCTGCTCAAACAGGAAAAGCCAAGACTATATGGCGAAAATATGTAAGGCCTACCATGAGCAGGGGAGCTGTGGTATAATGGTTAGAATTGATCCCTGTCACGGATCAGATCCGGGTTCAATTCCCGGCAGCTTCGTTCTTTGTTTTCGTTCATCGCGAATTTATCCTGGAGTCTTCCTCGTGCACTTGTAGACATGTTTTTTTTTCTTTGACAACGAAACAATCTCATCTCTCTATAATTCGGACAAGAAAGTCCAGGATAAATATGCTATACTTGTTTTGTCAATGAGTAATTGTAAGTGTGCACTGCCGCCATCAGCGGTCTGTGGTGTTGAGACTGGGTACTATGTTATCCCAGGAACAGCAGATGAAAAAGGACCATGCATTATAATTCTATATATCCGTCACGCAAGCACCTCAGGCAAGCTGGTATTGAACACGCAAGCCCCTCAGGCAAGTGCCGGGAGCACACCGCCGTGTGCTCACCCGGGGGGGGGCCGCACTTGGACCCCAACCGCATACATACCCATCACACCCATACTTCCCATACGCGTGTCCCCCACAGAGGATGCACAGATCGGACTCATATCCAAGTACCACAAACAAACAGCAATGGATTAATATCGTCATATGCTGGTTGGTGCAGACGTAAAATCACGAGTTTCACGTGTACCCGTCCCCATTATCGTAGGAGGGCCCCACCCCTTCCCCTGTCTCAACTCTCAACATCCCGAAATGTCATACACCAGGTATTTAGCGAAATGTCAGTAGTTTTGTAGGAAACAAATACATTTTTTATAACGACCTGCTCCAACGAGAGAGCCGACGACAACCTGCTCAAACAGGAAAAAGCGTGTGGAGTATAAGGCGAAAGTGTTCTGGTCTACCATCGAGCAGGGGAGCTGTGGTATAATGGTTAGAATTGATCCCTGTCACGGATCAGATCCGGGTTCAATTCCCGGCAGCTTCGTCCTTTTATTTCTATCCGTCCCTAATCTTGTCCTGGGTCTGTTTTTCCTACAGCACGGGGTAGATATGCTTTTTTCCCCCCTCAAACAATAACATGGGCCCCCTCTCTAAAGATAAGTAGTCCCAGGATAATTTCGCAATGAATTCATAGTCCACCTGTCTGTGTGTGTGTGTTTCTTATTTCTGAATATGGCCAAAACGAATCCATCTCTATCTAAGAAAAGAGTCTGAGATAGAATAGCTATGAGACGGTTGTCTCCAGGTTCGCGTGTGAGCAAGTTCCCTTTGGGATGTGTGGTGTGGATACACACCGGTTCAACCTCTGGTGGAGGGCTGACGAGTACGGATAGTTGTGTTGTGAGTCAAGGGGGGGAGCAACCTTGTGTTGAAGCAAGGTTCAGCATCCATCCGACACTGACTCTATCTGTGGCAACACCCCGAAGGTAGATCTCCGACAGGTCATCTGACGTCACAATCCACTACAGTCTGAGGTGGCATTCACAGCACCCCCCTATCTTCAATCACGGGGCCTGAATCCGGATTGAAAGACACAAGAATGACATAAATACTCCAGAGTGTATGAAATTGTGAAGTACTGATGAAAAGCACGAGTTAAATGACTTGGGCCGTAACGTACGGCGACTGCCATCATTCAACGAATGCTCTGTGTTTTGCAGTCATAAAATTTGGAACGTGTCACCAAAATATCTCATCCGAGCATCGATCGTACATAGTGCAGTCACAACCACAGTTTGCACGAGAGCAATTCATTCAGGAATTTCGGCAACTATTCCCGTACGACGAACGAATAACTACACAGATGACGAAAAGTGTACGGAACATGTCAGTCCGCCTCGGCGCTGTAGGTAACATGTGATCTACCGTACGAACGAACGGCGGGTGTACAGAAAAAACATCACTTCGGTGCGCGTCTTGCCCCGACAGTGTAAAAAACTGTACAAGTAGTACCTTGAGACAACGCCGTGAACTATTTTGTAGTTGCACACGTAACGAACACCCGGCAACGAAAAATAATTTGGCATTGCACCTGTGAAAAACGATTGCTTGCAAGGCTCAAAGTTCACAAGTGTCGAATAGCAAATGACGTGGGTCGACCCGCTGGGAAAACGTTGCTCAAACGATATGCAGCTGCAACAACGAACGAACATATGTGCACAGCTCATGGAGAGCTAACGATACGACCTTCTCATGCGATTACGCAAATGAGAGGCGCTGCATAGACGAACGACGACGAATGGTGATTACGAATACAGCAAACGATATGCTGTAGCATGGATTTGACGCAGTAGTGGGACGAAAGTCTGGTCCTCTTGTGCTTCCTCTTGCACGGCCCAGACACCCATCTACTCTTTCGCAGTGTACGACACGCGAGAAACGATGTGCGGGTAACGAAAGGTGTACGGAACATGTCACTGCAGTCAGCTCCAGCGCTGTAGGCAACATGTGATCTACCGCACGGACGAACGGCACGGGATAAAAATCCACCGCACGAAACGACTAAACAAAATCGGGCATGAATAAAACCGCGTGAACAATGCGAAAGTGCATGGATCCAGAAGTCGATTATCAATTGCGATTCCCCCAAACTGCAAGTGAGACGATATCACCCCCCAAGTTAATGTCGGAGTGGACGAGAAAAATAGCAATGGATTCATATAATAGCGTCTTAGAAAGCTATCTGTATTTCCACGGTTTTTGACTGATCTCCGGCAGTGTATCTACCCTCCAATGTTGTAGGTATTATTGTAGTCGGAACAAGACAGGTTAAGGGTACAGTTTGGTGGCCTTGATGTGTATCGACTGTTGGGAAGAGTTGGATGTTCGGGCATTTGTGTGGCGAACAGATCACGCAAGTGTGCTGTGTTGGGGAGGTTTGTGTGGAAATTTTATTGCTGCAAAGAGTGTTTCTATGTTTACAAAACACCGAAAGTATTGTAAGACATCAACCCGGTTTTTTCGTTTTTTCCGTCTCACAAAAACAGAGGAAACGAAAAAAGCTCCTGTGTGGCCCTCCTCTTGTGTGACCCGGCTGACACATACGTGAGGTATATACCCCGACCGGCGCCAGAATAGATGGGACGAACACACACACTCAAAGACGTCGTTCCATGGGTCTGTTGGTTTGTGCAACTGGTGGCATTGTATTGTGCAAGTGCATGTTTTTCTCCTCCTCAGCCAAGAGTTGTGTGGGTCCACATCCTTCCTTATCTCTTTTAGTATGCTTATGTGTAAGGTACCGACTTTTTTCAGACTTAAGAGAAAAGCTGTGCCTACGACAGTTCGCGTTAGCCATCATCGTCGGCGATATTGCAGATGTGTCGAAGCGGCCGTGATTTGGGGTACGCCTATATATGGCGACAATATTCCTCATACCACATGGAGCTGTGGTATAATGGTTAGAATTGATCCCTGTCACGGATCAGATCCGGGTTCAATTCCCGGCAGCTTCGCGCCTTTTTTCCTCTCGTGTTTTTTTTTCTGTCGCGATTTTTCGTTTCGTGTTGTGGTTCCTGGAGCGGGGTTACAACTGCAGGTCTGCAGGTACATGTTGTACCTCGGCGATTCCGTCCGTTCGCTATGACCAGGTCTAGTCGATTTGTGGTGGCGAAAACATTCCACACCCCTCACGGAGCTGTGGTATAATGGTTAGAATTGATCCCTGTCACGGATCAGATCCGGGGTTCAATTCCCGGCAGCTTCGTATCCTTTTTCCTCGTGTTTTTTTTTCTGTTGTGATTTTTCGTTTCGTGTTGTGGTTCCGGGAGCGGGGTTACAGCTGCAGGTCTGCAGGTACATGTTGTACCTCGGCGATTCCGTCCGATCGCTGTGGCCAGGTCTAGTCGATTTGTGGTGGCGAAAACATTCCACACCCCTCACGGAGCTGTGGTATAATGGTTAGAATTGATCCCTGTCACGGATCAGATCCGGGTTCAATTCCCGGCAGCTTCGTATCCTTTTTCCTCGTGTTTTTTTTTCTGTTGTGATTTTTCGTTTCGTGTTGTGGTTCCTGGAGCGGGGTTAACAGCTGCAGTTACATGTTGCACGTCGGCGATTCCGTCTGTTCGCTATGACCAGGTCTACTCCATGTGTGGACAAATAAAAACACGGACGGGAAATAAGTTTATTTTATTTTCTTACCTGATATTTTTGTGCTTTTTTAATTTTTGGTGTTGGAGGCCAGCAGTATCTACTTTTTTTTTTTTCTAAATGTGACCCAACGAATCCATCTCCTCTATCTAGGACAAGAGTCCAAGATAGATTAGCACTGAATTCATAGCGTCAGAGAAAGCTACCTGTATTTCTATTGTTTTCGCATATCTATTTTGTTTTTCTGCCAGAGGTGACCTACATACCGAACACGAACAGCTGGCACATGTCATTATTTTTAGACCTTCTGGGGGTGGGTGATGACCAAAAAATAAACGGCCGTTAAAGTAGCCAGCCAAAATCATTGCGTATGCATCTCGAACTGCGAGCGAGAGCAGTTATAAATAGTTAGAGATGAGGGAAAAGAGCCAAAGAAATAACAAGCCTCCGATAGCTGCTGTTAACCCTTTCTCTTTATTTAGCGCATTGTTGGGTCTGCCAGGTCCGTGTGAAAAGCCAATCACATTCTACCGTAGGTGACATGACGTAAGATATCACACCCCTGGATCGGTTTTTAAAACTCTAATTCTCCACGACGAAGAGGCTCCCAACGCCGCCATTTTCATCACCGCCACTCTTTCTGTGTGGAGCAATCGAACTTTGAACATCGGTCCAGGGGGTGTGATATCTTACGTCGTGTCACCTACGGTGGTTGCGCTCTTTGTGGGTTTGACGTCTTACGCGCCAATTGTAACGGTCCAACCAACGGAAAACGTGATACCGTGAGAGTGAGAGGGACAAAGGCGAAAAACACACACCTTCGGTTCACAGTTCATCTTCTCCGCCCTTGACACTGGGGTCGCGGGTGGTCGTTTTTTGTGTGCACACGTCGACGTATTCCACACAAGATAACACCCCCGGTGATTACGGGTTCGGCGTTATTTTATCAGCAAAAGGCGGGTGTTGGTGTTGTGGGGGGTATGGTAGAGTATCTGCGATTTTCCTAGGTTACTTGACCCGAGAGTATGTGGGTCTTATCACTGCTGCTGTGTGTTTCTCGTGCTGCTGTACCTTAAACAGGAACAAGAATTGTACCTTAATCAAGAATTACCTCTATGTATGCGGCGGGGGGACTTCGGAGGGGAAAATACGGGGAGCCGAGCTTCGGAATACTCCGCCCCGCCCCGCCCGACGGGCTAGAAATGAAAAAATAATCTGTGTCTCTGTTCTTTCAATATATACCCCATGGGCCCCCTGTTTTGGTGGAAACATCGTTTTTTGTTTTTTCCCTTCCCTCGCGGCACTGAAACACGAGCGACACCCACCCCTGCTGTGCATGTTTCTCAGGTTTTGAAGATCGCGAGGATGCTGGCGGGAATCCAGGGAGAGCGGAGCCTGGAGGACGATGACCCCTCAGAATGCAACGGGGGGAAGGCAAAGGAGCTCGCCAACGTTGGAGGGATCGTAGTGAGTTGTCGTTAGGCTCAGCCGCGTGCTTCACGTGTCATCGTCCCTCTAAGAGTGATATTTAGGTCGTCCGTCTACGGCAGCAAGTGCGTAGTGCCGTGTGGAAGTTAGTGCGTGTGTGTGTGTATTTTTCTCTTGTGTCCATCGAGGCGCGGTGTGTGTCTTGCGAATGCGTTCGGTCGATGTTTCGCGAACAGGGCAGGGCAGGACGTACTTTTCTCCGTCGTTACATGAGATAGAATGGTGCTTTTTTTTTTTAGGTTGTTCGGGGACACATACATGAGTGTGGCTGGGGAAAGGGCAACATGTGGGATCCGATGATTTGTACAGAAGGGCTGTTTTTTTCCACTGTGCGAGTCATTGCTGTCGTATGTGCTAGGTTACATGAACTGTTTCATGCTGTCGCCAAGCCTCGTGAATTCAGAAGTATGTTCTCTGGCCACCCCACAAGCGGTCGCCAGCGTGCGGCAATGAGGTACTACAGTGATGCATCTACAGTGTCTGAAACACAAACCCAAGATGCAACGAGCACGCGAAATCGTGTCCCTCACATGAATCCGCCAAATGCCACTGCGTTGTTCATCTCTCCATTGTGTTTTGACTCAAAGTCTCTCCCGATGCCTTGTTGATTCCTACGCTGCGCGTGTAAAGCATGTACGATATTGTAGCTGTAATGTAGCACAGACGCGACAGAGGACCGCAGTTTTTGAGTGCCTTGTCCAATCGGCGTCCGTTACATTTTTTTTTTTTTTTGCCCAGTGCACCGGACGCGCGCGGTACTGCTGATTTTCATCGTTGTTCGCCGTTCGACCCGGCGAGGCTTACTTACGCTTTTGCCCCCCCCCCGAACGATTGGCCATCGGTGATCGGTCCGTCCTGTGGGAACAATGCTCCGTCCTCTCAAGGACGCGTGGGCAATGATCTAACCGCTAAGGCATGCAAAACATGAGACTACGCTCCCCTCGTCTTGTTAATTCTTGTTCCTGCGGGCGGCTTGTCCAAAATGTGGTGGTGTTTTCCCGTCAGATCAAGCCCATGACGTTCGGGATGATGAAGTCGATGTACTGGGCCGCTCACCAGCGCTTCTTCCGGGCCATGTGCATCGCGTTCAAGGTAGGTATTGTATGTATACTATGGTTGCATTTATTGTTTACTTATTATTATTATTATTATTATTATTATTATTATTATTATTATTATTATTATTATTATTGTTATTATTATTATTGTTTTTGTTATTTTCGCGGTCTGCGTTTTGTTGTTTTCACGGAACACTGCTGGCGGTGTAAAGCTACCAAGGAGTTAATTGCTGACGATGTACATCGCTTTCAAGGCATGCATCTTGTTCTCTCTCGCTTTGTTTTGTCAATGTTCACATCATTCTCGCTTTTGTTGTATTGTCAACGTATTGTTCTCTTTGTTGTTGTTGTTGTTGTTGTTTGTTTTACCTTCTTATTTTTTTCACGCGATGAAAAATATAATTCAGCATGCACCGCAGGAGGAAGATGGGGCACGAGAATAAACATGAAAAGAAGGAAAAGCCCTGGTGTTTACCCCCTCCTGTGTGACCCTGGATGGGTGCAAATGCTATCGTTCGTTCGGGAAAGTTTTTCTTTTTTAATCACGTTTCGTTTATTTTTTTGCGGCAGGTGTCATGCGTAGTACCGTTCCAGAGAAGAAGATCAAGTCTTTTCGAGGACACAATACTGCTGCTGCTGCTGCTGCGCTGCTGCTGGAATCGTTGCTCTTCCCCGCCCGCAATAATGGTGATGTTTCCCTTCATTGACACAGGTGGAGAAGGCAGTGGAGATCACCAAGAAGGCCCTCGAGGATGACATGTGCGTTGTCATCGGCCTCCAGTCCACAGGTACATACATAGGTCAAACATAGGTGGGAGGGGGGCACCGTCACCGGGGGGGGGGGGGAGGGG